GTGGGAATGGGGGGGGGCTTGAGTCCGGGAATTAGGATAAAAGGGAGCGTAGCGAGGTAGAGCGATCTCACTTCGTTTCAAGAGGCCCGCGGGCAAGTCAGCTCCCAGCTCTGCCCTCCGGACGTCCGCGTGACGCGTCCCGACGAGCATCGAGGAAAAGCCACAGGACGCCGAATACTTCGAACCGTGAGTAGCAAGGTGAAAGGGTATCGTAAGCCGATAAATAGGGAATAGGTCCAGGGGTAGTAGAATAGGCCCGCCTCGTCGATTCATACTGACTCAACAACCAGTTCAGGTAGCAAACAATAAATCATTAATAGCGAAGCGTGGCCTCGTGTGATCTCGTTGAGAGGTGTGAACGTGTGTGGTGCTGTGTACACAGTGGTTCGCCACGGGGGAGCGCTGCGCGGAGCTGCGCGTGTGGGTGCGCGTGTGTTCACTACGTGTATGATACAGGTGCGCGATCATAACGCGAGTATTCAGTGGTGAGTGAGTCCCGCGGGGAGCTGTGTGCGTGAGTGCGCGTACGTTCGCTACGTGTCGGATACGGGTGCACATTGGTAACGTGGTTGTTCAACGTGGAGGCGAGTGCCGCACAGGGCTATAGACGGGCACACGCTCGCAGCGTGCGAGAGCTGTACGTAGCGGTGTAAAGAGGGGGAGTATGGCGTTTGATTGATGATGCTGTGCGCACGTATGCTTGCAGCGTGGGAGCGCTGCGTGAAGCTGTATGGGTAGGGGCGTTGGGTTCGAAGGCCGGCGAAACTCTAGCGGGTATTAGGGTGGTGGGGTAACGTAAACGGAATAGGGGATTCAGGCGGGGGGGACCCCGGGGGCCAACGGCCCCCACAGGTGTCAAATACTTATTTCCCTCATTAAAATGCAAATCAATTTATAGCATTTTTGACATGCGTTTTTCTGGATTTTGTTGGTGTTATTCTGTCTCTCACTGTTCAAATAAACCTACCATTAAAATTATAGACTGATAATTTCTTTGTCAGTGGGCAAACGTACAAAATCAGCAGGGGATCAAATACTTTTTTCCCTCACTGTATGTACAGTGCTAAAGAAGTTAAACATAGATATGTACATATTTAATATAACTGAGATTTGCATCCCAGAAAGGTTATGCTCAGAAACCCACCGAACAACATTCAAGCAAACACAGGCCAATTTTAAAGCTACTTTATTTTATCTTGGTTATCACGGTAATATAAGTAAGCTGGCTTATATATATTTTTTCCACAACATACAAGTTAAGAAACCAACGCATGCAATGTGCTGGCGTGAATACAGATAACACCACAAAAAATATAGTTAAAAAATAAGTCGATAAAATGTCTCTTACTTGCCAACGAGATAAAAAAATTCGCAATTTCGTGAACCCGACAAAACCACCTCTCAACCGTCTCTCACGACTCGCCTTTCCTTCCCGAGTGTGGTGCCTGCCTCTTTAACAAGAGCCAAGAATAATCCCACAATGCCAACACCAAAGACAAAGATCCCCCCCGTATAGCCTCACTGTTGGGAAAAGTGCTGTTAGCAAACAGCAGCACGCCCGACCGCCTTCGTCTCCCCAGTGGCAATGTTTACACACCACACCAGGTACTCATTTGAGGCCGAGTCTTCCTAGGGGAGGCCCAGGACCGGTTTAAATAATCGTCACTGGTGTTGTCGCAAGCGGGAATCGAACCCGGGTAACTGGGTTCGTAGGGCAGCTGATAATCGCTGCACTACCGCTCACCACGACCACCACTACATACCGTTGGCTACTCACCTCGTGCAACAGTCCAAGATATGATCCTTATGGCGGTACCCCGGTGTACAAATTAAATATTTTATTTCTGGGAATTTTTTTTCCAGGGATGTACTTAACTCCGCGACTGGGGTACCAATCAATCCGAGATCGGTGCTACTCCGTGTACAGCTCGTCGAGATGAGTCGATTGCCGCATCGCCTCCCATCAACAGACTAAAAATGACTGCATCGCGGATATTATGCGAAAGCCGGGGTGCTATGGTACCCCAGCGTACCGCCATAAGGTTCATATAATGACATGTACATTTGAAAACATTGATTCCATTCATGCATTTTTTAAGCATCGCAGAGGGTGAAAGAAAAGCGCCTCCAGTGGTTGTATGCGGAGCATGGAGCCATTGACACAGCATGCATAAATAAAAACACACCGATACTTAAACACGCACTTTTATGCACGTATAGTGAGCTTGCGAATCCGTATTCATCGATGATGAATCTATGTTACCATTCCACCCCTAGAATATGATCGTTACTAAATGTAACATTGGTGCATAAGCTGCTTTAGAAAACAGAATATTTATACTGCAGGAGGAATCTGATGAGCTATGAAGCTCTTTATGGCCTGTAGGGGCACAGGGTAAGAAAGTTACAACTGGGGCGGTAACCCAATTTGGCCATAATTGTGGTCAAGTATATGCATTCGTACTTAAGAGGCCTGTTCGCAAGTAAACCTTTCTTTACTTGAAAATTGGCAATATTCCAACCGTGAACGTTGAACATATTTAACTGCGACGTACAGTTATCCGTGACAGGACGTGTGGCTAAGCGTGAGACAAGAGGTCATTGGAAGTATTTTCGTGTAGTATTCCTGTGGTATCTAACCATTGAAAATAAGATGGTCACCACATCGCGCAGCGCTTTCAGAAGCGCTTCTGCTGCCATCTCTGAAAGCGTCGCTTTCAACGGTGACTGGACTAAGATAACCAAACGTACTACACTCGGTGACACGGTGAGATAACTCATAACCACAAAATATCAGTGGTTCACACTCAGTTCTGTGACACAGCCATTATGAACCACTTCCGTGAAAGTTCGTTTTTCTAACTTTCAAAATCGTTATTCTCAAGCCCACGCAAAGTTTTTCTTTTTGGCAAATTCAACAAGTGGTTTGATTCGGCAGCAATTTGGCCCATTCTCTGATAATACACAATCGTGCCCAACTCGACTTGTTAAAGACTCGTTGGACCAAGTACTGTTAGCGATCCCCTATTAATACGTCCAGCCACACACAGCACGCGACTGAGAGGGTGTACGCATGCTAAACTTATTTCGCACCGTTGCTGGATAATGCCATTATAGGGTCACACTCATTACACACGCCAAGTGCTTGCCACAAATGAACCACAAAACCTTGCCAACCTCATCAAGGAGCATAAACCATTACACTAACTCCAGTTATCCTTGCAGCAGCAGCGGTTGGCTGGCCATCGAATAAAGGTGGTCACTGCATTGCACGCTTTCAGATGCACTGCTTCTATGGCCGTCTGGAATGCTCTTCCTTCCGATATTAGTAATTCACTGGAGCTATGCACTTTTAAATCTGGATTGAAAAACTCATTTCTTTAGAACTGCTTGTTATTGTGTTGTTTGTTGTACTTACCCCCGCACCTCCGATTAGCACTGTTGGCTACGTAAAGCATGAAAGAAGTTCAACATAAGTACGTACATACATGCACACAGGGGTGATGGGAATTGGCGAGTGCAACCTCTCCACTCACTGGCCCTCTGACGTCAGAATATCGTACAGACGTTATTCGCTGGAACATCACAACCAGGCCCCTCCAGCACACCCGCACCTCCGATTAGTGATTGGCTACGTACGGTGCGAAAGAAGTTCAACACACACACCTCCCGAGACGGATTTCTATGAGCACGCGCCTACACGTGGGCCTCCTGCGAGTGGTCAAGTAAAATAAAGTGCACTTTTGACCACAAAATACGGACGAAATGTCGCTTCTGTGAGTGCGAGTTGAAATCGCAGCCGTGGTTGATTTAACGATAACATAATCAACACCACTACCATTATACTATGACCACCACTAAAATTACCATTATTCCCACCCCCATGATATCACCACCATAATCATCATCATAACCACAAACATCACAAAAGTCATCAGCACTCCCACCATCATCTTTCCAGGATGTGTAAAATAAATAACACCTGCCACAGCTGTACAAATTTGATAGACAAATGCTCGTCATGGTAACGTGCAATTTCCTCCAGGGGCAATAACCACACCACCAGCGAATACATACCACTGCACGGTGGTACAAGGGGCCCTGCAAAACTGTTGGATTTTTTTTGCGAAACGTTAGAACGGTGAGCTTCACAGACCACCGTTGACAGCTCTGAATGATACAATGAATCTGCAATGGTTTGGACACGTGGCAATAAAAGGCAACTACACAATCACCTCACAGGGTGTGAAGGGAACAAAAATGCAGAAGATGACAAACGTGATTACAGAGACAACTACTCGACAGTACAATGGGCCTTTTAAAAAATATATTTCCTTAATTTAAGATATCCACTTGTCTTGCACATCCGGTGAGCGAAATTCGCACAATTTGGTGTTATATTTCTGATCATGCACTGCATTCCTGCACGTGCAGTTCACGGACTTGGTGCTGAAGACCTTCTTTCACACCGTACGGAGCCAAACATGCTAATCGGAGTGTTGATGATGTGCATCATCTTCCAGTTTTACTTGAACGTTGTTTTCCTCCAATGTGTTTGCTATGCTCAAGTGTCTGCAACGTTACGAGTTATAAGCTGCTGTAACTTTACATATATAATATATTTATTCCATCGAGGTCCTCCGGCGGGTCATTCTGGTAAAAAAAGCTGAAGGCCGAATATTTATTTACCCGCGTCAAACAAATAAAATCGACCGGCCAAAGGCTGCGGAGGGCAAGCGAAGGTGGAGAGAGTTGACAGCCGAGCTATTTTTCATGGCGCCCACACATTCATTTTGGACAAACGATAGAAAGACAAAGAACTCAGAACACGAATGAAATACGAACGCAAATCACAAGATATGTCTGTGGATGTGACGGTGGCAAAATGTTAATCACCTCGTCCGGTATGCAGGAGGTCGTGGGTTCCATCCCGACCCTGACACCTGTACATTTTGAGTTGGCATATTCTCCCCGTGGTCGTGTGTATTTTTCTCCGGGACCTCCGGGTTTCCCCTCCACATCTAGAACATGCATTGAGAGTATTTGGCTGCTATAAAGGTCCACACAAAAAGCCACTCCGTTGGGCTATAATTTGTGGCCAGGTAGCTTCTGAAAAGGAGCTACATAGCTCAGTAGTGGGCCTTACCTGGTAAAATAATAAAAGTTTAGTTTTTAACCACACCGCACACACAACAGCGGGTTCATGCCCCCCCCCCCCCACGATGAACTATACACACGTGCAATACCAGGGAGCAAGGGTGGGTGGGTTACACTGGATACTGGTTTTAACTTGCTTCGAGTGAACTCCACGTGCCCTTACGTTGTAACCTGTCCGTGTTCACACCACTGGTGTGGAACGTGACGCAGGGTCACGTGGGTAGTACGTGACAAGAACTTCAGCTTAGGACCCACCCTCTATGCTCAACCCTAACCCCGATTGTCTGCCCTCTCACTTAAGAGTTTACTGAACATTATAATGTTTCAAACGAGCGAATTCATCCTTCCCCCGCACCTTCGATGAGCATGTTTGGCTACATACGGTGCGAAAGAAGTTCAACATACGGCAACACAGAGCGAATACAGCGGCACGATAGCTTCACTGCACTACGAACCTGGTCACCCGAGTTCGATTCACGGCCAAGGCTTACCACATCACATCCGTGCCAAGCGATATCTAAACCGGTCCTGGGCACCCTCTTCGATAGGTCTGGATTGACTGGTGTGGTCATCCGGACGTGGCTCGATGTTAACTCCCTCGCCTGGTATGCAGGTCGTGAGTTCGATCCCGACCCTGACGCTTGCTGTATATTTGAAGTTTGCGTGTCTCTCTCCCAGTGATCGCGTGGATTTTTCTCTGGCTCCTCCGATTTTTCCCTCCACATTGAGAATAAACAACATGCGTTCAGAGTATTTAGTTGCTATACATTTACACATGATAAGCCACTTTGCGAGCTATCATTTGTGATAGCCAGGTCGCTTCTTAAAAAGAGCTACTACGTTGCATAGTCCTGGGCCTTACACCTGGTCAAACTGTGTTCAAGTCTTCCTGAACGCAGGGCACTTTTAGGACACTGTGCGTTAGCTGTGGCCGAGAATCTTACTCTATAGCTACTGGGTTCATAGTAAAGCACAAACCACTATACTACAGCTCAACTGCATACGCACACACATACACACATGCGCAAATATACAGCTCCATCACCAGTCTCCCTACTAGCAATACGTTCTGCCAGTAGCATTGGGGTGCAGTCTCCCACGAGCTTTGTTCATTGTCCATGATGCGTCATCTGTCCCAGATGTGGCACCACCAGGAGTTGCTTTCAACCATATAAGAGCCCTAGATTAATCTGCATTGGCGGAGCAACGAGACAGGTTTTCCCGCAGGCTCGTCTGTACGCCCCCCCTCCGTAAGAGATGTCTCCACGTGTGGGACTTCTCAGGTTTACAATTGGTTCTTCTATGTGGCCACTTCGGGTGTAATTCCAGATGCAAAAACAATCTTGCAAAGAGGATTTTGGCCAAACAACCCAATGCAGGACACTGCTCAATTCGAGTCTAGCAAGTGATTATACTGCAAGCATAGCACAACACACTTTGTGATATTATACTGTATTGAATTATATATACATACTCTATATGAGATAAGATGAATTGCTAAAATGATGTCCGTCATACAACATCAAGGCGCTCACTGTTGAGAACCTAGGTTTGAGCCCTGGCGCTGGGCTTCCTTTGTGTCTTGTTACCAGTGAAAGAAAAAGCCACCTTGTGTGGCTGTGAAGAGCTCAGGTCTACAATGGAACAGATTTCACGCCGGCGCGTGCTGCCACGTGCTGCCACGTGGCACGTGCTTCACAAAGGTTTACCGCGCGGTTAACGAGAGGACGCTCTTTACACGCACGCTGATCTTGGAACGGGATTCCACGGTTGTCGATGTTTTCAGTAAAAACTGAAGAAAATGTAATCATACGCGGCATTCACCCAAGGGTGCAAGTGCCCTCTTCTATTATGCCGGCCTTTCATTTTTTTTTAAGTCTTTTCCGACCCCCCAGTTCATCCCGATCGGATGCCATCGGCATCGTGAGACGAAATAATCCACGCACGCAGATCGTCTCTCACAGTTGCCAGTAAAAACCCTTCACGTGACTCCTGCTTCCAGCCCACAGAAGCGGATATAACAGAGCTACCTCATGAAATCCATTCAAATGACATCTGATCCAAACAATTTGGCGACAGCACTTTCCCACCTGCTTTGCCACTGAGAATGTTTGTCGCATTCCAGCCAAACCAATATTTTCACTGACCGGGAAGCTGGAATTCAGTCAACTCACTTAATGTTCTTGCGGTTTTTTTTGTGCGCTCATAGGTCACCAGGTTGAGACTATCCACTCACTAACACTTGAGAAAACCAGTGTTATCACGGGCAGCTTGCTTCAATTCCTACCCAGGAGCTCGGCGGGTCTATCTTCCCCCGGAGTTGTGAATGTTCCGTTAACACCTAAAGTCAGTCTCTTTTCAAAGGGAATGGGCGCTCCTACTCTTCGGTTGACCTCATGGACCTACAATTCCCCCTCCGTGGTTCAGGAGCTCGCTTCCTCCTACCATCCCCATTTTCTCTTCTCTTCTGCCTATGACCAAACTTCTCCATGAAGTTTCCGGCCGCACCTCATCGTAAAAAATATACTGCACACACGATACACTCACATTTGTTGCAGAATCTCGAGACATGGCACGCGTCTCCACGCGCGACCACAAATCTAGACTTTGCTGCATTAGCTCCGGTGCCAGAGCGAGAGTGTAATTTAACCGATCGTCATCACATTTGGTATTTCGCGCCAATTTCTCATCACAGAAGGCCTATCACGGAGGCGCCGCATTTCGCGTACAAGTAAAGTCTGCCGGTAAAATAGGCGCGCTGCTGCCACATGTTTATTCTGCCCAGTTGGGTCAACCATTGAGTCACCGCTCTAAATTTGGATCGTGACGCTGGCACACACACACGTGGCCTGCTCTTTTTCGAATTAAGTCACAGGTTGTCTCCGATGTCCACTGTGAAGCCGACAGCATGGATTTCAGCTTAATGTCGACAGTATTAACCAAGGCGGTTGCAGGTTCAAACCACGAACCTCTACACCGTGGGGTGGGGTGTGCAAATCCGCTACGGCTCGGACATCCTCTCGTCCGTGTGGGTTTTCCTCCACCAGTGTTTGTTGTTTCCTCTTGCGCGCTGGTGATTTCTCCAGGATCTCCGAGCTCTTCTTCCATATGTCAAGAAGCACTCCAGTGTTCACCTCTTACACGGTGATGGTGAGGTTCTTCCAGGCCCTGTCATGGGTTTGTTGGCAGGGTGACCGCTCTCTTTTTGTTTCAATGAACATGTTTTCCTTGCAGCATGCTGTCCCACTCAAAGGGTACTTATACATCCAAATTGTTTGGTTGCCATTGTGTTTTTTTCCAGAAATTGGGAGAAGAATCCGATCGTTTTTAAAAGACGCGCAAAGGTGTGCTTTCGAAACAAGCTGGAAGGCGCGACTCCCAATACGACTTGCGGGCGTGTCATGTGACCACCCCATTGAATTATGTTCTCAGCCATGTCTAGACCAGCCAGCTGAAAAGCTAAACATGTGGCTTTTAACCAAGTGTGTGGCTCGAAGAGTTGAACATGAAGCCCTCCCAATTTGGCAGCAATAAAATGGACAACTATAGTCCAGTTTCTTTCTTCTTAAGGCTCATCACTGCTGCAGTCATCAAAGTTCACCAGTGCCTTGAGCTCTGGGGAAACCCATTTGTCTCCAGCCTGCTGCACTATTTTTTTTCCACCCCGACCCATCCTCATCCATTTACAGAAGGCGGTGGATTTGAATTTGGCGATTGCTTGGTGGAGAGAGCCGAGAAAGGTCTCGTCTGTGACAGGCCAGGGGCTCACTCTCTCTGGGGTTTCCCCGCATCAGGTATTGCCTATACGACACGTCTACGCACTCTGTTGAGGAAATTCACTGCAATTCCTCCGTAGATTGTGAGCGTCTCCTAGCCCATTAAGAGTTTGTCAGGAGCTCAACAGTCCTTCTCTCAAGATACATGCACGCACGCACATGGGTGTTCTCGAACCTCTTGGGTACTCTCTTTCCACGAGTGGCTTTTCTCTACCATCGCAGAGTGATTCTCTGCCACTCAAGATTTTCTCCAAGAAATTGTCTCTTTCCCGTGGGTTTTCTCCGCAGTATAAACTAGACGTGTAATCATCCCGCCACGGCTACCCTGCCAGCCCCCACCAGGTTACGATTTTGATAAAGCATCAGGATTTGTTGATGTTGCGATTCGATTTGGAAATCCACCGTGGTTGTCAGAACTGATTCTAGCCATGCACTGCTTTAGGCAAATTCAGGAGTTGAATTTAATAATCCTGCCCAGTGTTCACACGTATATATCGTTTGCCTTGCAGTCTGTTCTGCCCATTCGGTTCAACAAATGATTGATCAGTGCCCACGGAATGCAGCCACTGCATCCTCCAAACACCTATTTTGTTCTACATTGGTTTCATGCCCAGGTGACTGCTTAGCTATGCATATTAACCCCGGGTTTTAATCTTTATCCAGACTGTCTGCAACTCACTTCTTGCACTGGCCTGGTGACGAGATGTTACTACCTCGCCTGGTATACAGGAGGTCGTGGATTAGATCCTAACCCTGACGCCTGTATATGTTCTTTCCGTAGCCGTGTGGATTTTGCACCGGGCACTCCGGTTTTTCCTTGCACATTAAAAAATGTGCGTTAAGAATATTTGGCTGCTGCCATAAATTTCAACGTGATAAGCCCACTTCGTTGCACTATCATTTGTGGCCAGGTCGCTTCTGAAAAAGAACTACATAGCTCAGTGGGCCTTACACCTGGTAAAATAAACATAGTGTAACTCATACTCTATGTTTATTTTACCAGGTGTAAGGCCCACTGAGCTATGTAACTCATACTCACTAAACTCCTAAGGTCAATTCCCGACCGGAAAACAAGCGCAGTCCGTCGCGTGCTTCCAGAGATAACAAAATTATTACTGTGTGGGAACTCAACAGTGATTGACCCTATGTGGACTTTCCATCGACTGTGCGAGGAAGAAAGAGTGAAGGGCGATAGCGGGGAGACAAAGACAACGGGAGACACTCCAGTTCCGACTGTGCCAACTTAGCCGCCCAGCACTCTGGTCATTGTTAAGATAGTCACTCAAATGGAGCCGAGTGCTATCCCGTAAAACGTTTAAGCAGAGAGACACTGCTGTGGAGACGTCTTGCAAGATTGAAATCGTCTGCCGAATTTTCACATCCTCTTGAGCATGTGTTCTCTGAAGTTTGAGCATTCACCTCTTGTACAGGTGGGTTTTCCCCCGTTTCCTCCCACAGCAAGACCCTCCTGCGAAATTAGTCTTCCGACTCGGTGCGGGTAAGGACGTTGGAGAATCTTCGTAGTCCTTCCTCTGTCAGCGGTCCACATGGCCACGTGAATCGACGCCCATCGATCGCAACTATTTGCGATGTCTGTGTTCCCAAAAGACTCCACGCACCTGCAAGGATTACCGCTATTTGGCATCAAACAGCGGAAAGGAAACTAAGGCTGTGCCTTATGAAATTCTCATCGCCAGCCAGTTACGAGTGTTAAAGATGTAGACTTTTTAAGGTTTTCCCAATAAGTGTTTTAAAAAATGGGAAACAACTTGTCAGTTAAAAAGAGGCAATCACATGCTCCAATGGCCAGCATGGTATGTGCGCTGTTCGTGCAGAATCCCATCACGTGAGTAATAGTTTTGAATTGAAATCGACAGCAAATGCTTTCCACAATAGGTGCGTTTCAATCGAGATGTCGGTTGCCGCCACTTTGTTTTAGCCAAAACTAAGCTGGAAGAATTGCTCCAAGCTGGAGCCCTACCCATCTGCCTCGTTAATTCAAGGTTTGGTGAAACATCGAGCAAAGTTCGCAAACCAAACCTGAGAATGTTTACTCCGGGTCTCCAGTCTGCATCATCGGGCCATTCAATACAATTCTTGGTTGCAACATTCCCACGTTCTTGGAAAACATTCAGAAACGTTCCGATAACATATTTCTCCTTCCCGAAAATATTAAATGTCGCCTTTTATGTTTTCCTTCCAAATGTCAGAGCTTGAAGATGCCCAACCTCTGCTTTAACTGTCACGTTGAATTTCTTGACGAGACGAATTTCCTTCCTATTATTAGATCTCGAACTATAATTTGTTTTAAATCTCAAATAATTGTCACGTGCCCCCTTCACGGCTTGTAATTTTTTTTAACCTAATTCTTGATTGCGTGAGTTGTGAAGTTTAAGGTCGTGAACAGGAGACTGGTGTGGGTGATTTGATGCTTGTGCAGGTTTTCGGACTGGGTGAATGCCTTGCCGCACATACAGCACTTGAAAGGCTTCTCCCCCGTGTGGGTCCTGTGGTGGCTGTGCAGGGCCCCCGACTGCGTGAAGGCCTTGCCGCAAACCGAACACTTGTAGGGCTTCTCACCCGTGTGGGTCCTCTGGTGGTTGTGGAGCGCCCCCGACTGGGTGAACGCCTTCTCGCACACCGAACACTTGTAGGGCTTCTCGCCCGTGTGCGTCCTTTGGTGGTTACGAAGGGCGCCCGACTGGGTGAACGCCTTGCCGCACACGGTGCACTTGTAGGGCTTTTCGCCCGTGTGGGTTCTCAGGTGGTTGTTCAGCGCTCCGAGCTGAGTGAACGCCTTGCCGCACATGGTGCACTTGTAGGGCTTCTCGCCCGTGTGCGTCCTCTGGTGGTTGTGCAGCGCCCCCGACTGCGTGAACGCTTTGTCGCAGACGGTGCACACGTACGGCTTCTCACCCGTGTGGATCCTCAGGTGGATGTTGAGTCTGCTCTGGTTGTCGGTGCTATACAGGCACTCCTCGCACTGGTGCATCGCGGGTTTGGACCACCTGCCGTGTTGCTTGATGTGGTCCTCGAGGACAGGCTGGCTCACCAGCACCAAGCCGCACACAGGACACGAGATCCTCGTCTCTTCTTTCATCTTTCCTGTCTCGGCACACAGACACACAAAGGAAAAAATATTTTCCATGAAGCCTTTAACAGACAGTTGGGGCATGTGCTGTTAGCGAGCACCCATTTAGGACGGCGCGGCACATGAGCGGGTAGGTGGACAACACCACGCCCGGCCGTCTATCTCTCACCAGTGGCCATCTTTACACACAGCACCAGGCACTAATTTAAGGCTGAGTCGACCTCCAGGAGACCCAGGACCGGTTCTGATAATCGTCACTGGTGATGACCATGACTGTGTAGTGCTAACCGCTACACTACCGCTCTCCACAGACACACACACACATGCACAATTCATAACAGTATTTTAATAAATGTTTGTCATTCACCTGCAATTTTTTGTCCAATACAATCGGGGCTGATAGGATCAGCAGCAGTCTACAGCAGTATCCAACCACTTCTCAGAGAGTGAGCAACTAACACCATGTCCACAGCATACATCAATGATTTATCAGTGGGGAGTTACTCTTCCATTTGGTACAGGTACTGCACCTGTACCAGATGCAAATTCTACTTGTACAGCCACGAAAGGCTTCTTTGAACTGTGTAGTAAAAAAAGGCGAAATGGCATCGGGCCCAGAGGACATGTTAAATAGTTTAGGGGCGCCACAGTGGCTAGATGCTAACTATCTCGCCTGGTATACAGGTCGTGGGTTCTATCCTGGCAGAAAGCCTGCTGTATATTTTGAGTTTGTATGTTCTTCCTGTGGTCGCATGGATTTTTCTCCAGGTCCCCTGGTTTTTCCCTCCACATTCAGAATCAACATCACACATTCAAAAGTATTTGGTTGCAATAAATGTCCACACCATAAGCCACTTCGTTGAGCTATCAATTATGATAGCTAAGGTTGCTTATGAAAAACAGCTATTTATGTGTGCTGTGGACATGCTGTTAGTCACTCACTCTCTGAGAAGTGGTTAGAGACTCTGCTGGAGACTCTGCTGTAGACTGCTGCTGGTCCTAGCAGTGCATTTAAATATTGAATTGTTGTTACCCAATTCTTAAAGCGAAAAATGTCTCGTTATTTTGGTTGCCGGTCCCTGGGCTAACAACAACCCTTGAGCGACACGGCATGGCGAGTGGGAGAGATGAAAGAGGTGGAGTGGGTGGGGTAGACATTCAGAATCAGGAGGAATCCGATGATCTATGAAGCTATTTGTTGTCTCACAGTAAGGGAGCCATGGGGTCAGAACTTTACAACAACAATACTCGCAAACACGATGGGAGTGCCAAGTACAAGCAAGACAAACGAATCAGCCACCACGCGTACAGATACAACAAACTAAACCATCCCCATCCTTCAGGGCCAAAAATAAAACCCGAGGTATTAATTTCACCTAGCAGCGGAGTGACAAATGCATACCTGTCAACCCCTTATCAGTGCCTACCTTATTCCAGACCAATTCAGACCTTATTGGTCACCCCGTGCCCCTTATAAATCTAAACGTTCATTCTACAAAGTCCCATCACAAGAGAGAAACACAAATAAATGGAACAGTTTTTTTTCCCGTGCCGAAACGGCCGTACGGCGTATGGACCTAAAACAAACTCAATTCCCATGTGCAGGAATACAGGGTAAACCATATGGTTTGACAGGTATGGTATAGTGTAGTATATAGTAGTATAGTGTAGTGTATAGTGGTGTAGTGTATAGCAAACCTGTCAACCCCTCATCAGTGCCTATCTTATTCCAGACCAATTTTTCAGACCTTATTGGTCACCCCGTGCCGCTTGTAAATCTCAACGTTCATTCTACAAAGTCCCATCACAAGGGAGAAAAACTCAATTTTCCCCGTACAAGAATAAGGGGGTATAAACAGTTATGGGTGGACGGATATGACAACTTGCGATACATACTAATTCAATTATTATTGAACAGCAGCAGCAGCGGCGGCGGCGGCGGCAGGTATAACAACTGGGTTGATGAAGATGAAGTCCATTATTCTTCATCAACGATAACAACAATATCAGCACAGGCGTCCCGAGAAACACGAAAAACTAGGCCTCATGTCGCCAGGCAAGTCCACGAGTCTGCAGAACCCTCGTCTCTGCTTGCCGAGTCTCTCTGTGAGTGTCTCTCTCTGTGTGTGTCTCTCTCTCTGTGTGTGTCTCTCTCTCTGTGTGTCTTTCTGTCCGCGATCCTCACCGTTTTTTGGGGTTTTTTTCTCCTCCCTGGCAGACGCGAGGCGCCAACTCCTTCTTTGCCTGGGCCGCGTGACGTCACCGCCTATGGCAATGACGTCACGCGCGCGCGCGTGATTCAGACTCGCGCGATGACGTCGACGAACGTGATTTTTTTTGTTTGTTGAAGGGCGTCCATGACGTCACCCGCAATCTCAGCTAAACTACTTTATTCCTAGATTTGAAGTTTTCGTGATTGCATGGATCCATACTCTTTGGTTCTTTCGGTAAAGTCGCGTAGGTATAAAATAATTTATTTTATTTAAATTATTTATGTTATTTTATTTAAATAATTTTATTTATTTTATTTAAATAATTTAATTTATTTTATACCTAGGTGACACAGACACTACAGGGCCCGCACTCGCTTAATCCGGCACCGCTCATGGGACCTCTCAGCCCACAGAAGCCACGTGGCAGTAGGTACCTGTCAAGGTGCGCTGGCAGCAACGACGTATTTTGGATACGTTTACTCTATGAAATTTGCATAAATAAACAGACAAATAGACATACTGCAAAAAAAAGTTTCTGTATTTACAATCTTGCAGACTCCGCATCATGGGGTGATGTACGTAGCACTACTACATACACCAGCCATGAGTTTGACGATCGCCAGGCTGACACAGCCTTTAGAGCGGCGCTCAGGCGAACGCCGAATTACACAACGCACCTTTTCGCACTGTGTACATTTTCTGTTTTCATTACCGTAGTTATTAGCATACCTGTCAACCCATACGGTTTACCCGTATTCTTGTCCAGGTCCATACGGCGTATAGCCGTTTCAATAGGGGCAAAACAATTGTATCTGTGTTTCTCCCTTGTGATGGGACTTTGTCGGATGAACGTTGAGATTTATAAGGACACGGGGTGACCCACAATGTCTGAATTCTAGATTTGAAGCTTTCGTGACTGCAAGGATTCATACTCTTAGGTTTTTCGGTAAAGTCACGTAGGTAAAAATAAATAATAAAAGTTTATTGAAATCTTCTTCCTAGCGTTGTTCCCGCTGTGGCGCAGGGTCCGCTTTTCGGCATTGTCTTCTCCATTTGGCTCGGTCCAGCGCATCTTCAGGGGATGCGTTGACCGTCTTCATGTCTTCCTTTATTCGGTCCATCCATCGCTTCTTCGGACGTCCGCGTGGACGGCGGCCCTCTGGCTCAATACGCACGGCAGTCTTGGCCACTGATGACTCTTCACTTCGCATCACATGGCCGTACCACCGAAGCCTTGCCTCAAGCATCTTGTCCGCAATGGGGGCCACACCAAGTCGCTTCCGAACGTCTTCGTTCCTGACACAATCCCATCGAGTGAGCCCGAGGCTCCATCTGAGCATCCTCATCTCCATGGTGTGGAGAGCTTGTTCGTGTACAGTTGTGGCTGGCCAGCACTCGGATCCATAGAGTGCCACCGGTCGGACGATGGTCTTGTATATTTTTCCCTTCAGCCTATCCGGCATTTTCCGATCACAGAGGACTCCGGTGACTTGCCTCCATTTCATCCACGCCGCATTGACTCGTGACCTCACATCAGTCGTGATGTCACGAGTTTAATATTTTGGGGGGGGGGAACACATCCCCCCCCCCAAAATATTAAAATATGCTCAAAATGTCCCCCCAATATATTGCTATAATAATAATAAAAAGTAATAATTGCTATGCTATGTAAATAAAAACAACAATTTGCTAAACCTTGGCCAAAATATCTGGACTTGTCTTGATATAAATCAATGCATAGATTTCTGTTTATATGATTATGGTTGTACTTTATTCATCCCTAATCTCAAACATTACATACAATGAAACAAGAAATGGTAAAAAAGTTAAAACAGAGCAATGTAATACAATACACTATTAGACATTATTGTAATAAATAAAAAGTCCATCCCATGTGTTAGTGAATTTTTAAATATTTCAGGCAGGAAATTAGTTTTCGAATTTAGATTTTTTTTTTTCTGGGTTGGGACCCCCAGACCCCCTGGAAGATTTCGTCCCCCAATGTTGACTCCATGGCTACGGCCTTGGTAAGCACTGATGAGGGGTAGATACGTATGTAAGTCACGAATAATGCATTAATACGTGCAGTATTTTCATTGAGTTGTATAATGATTACATCTACATAGCGGCTTTTCATCAAGGACACAGCAGCGGCAGACACTCAACATAAAAAATAATTATATCACTAATACATGTTTAGAATAATTTACTAAATTAACTAAAGTTTAATAACCGTAAGCGCATAAATAGCTCTTCTTGGTTTTATAATAATAAAATATTTATGTTTTATTTTTATTATTTCCCTTCTACGTGACTTTACCGAAAGAACCAAGAAGATGAATCCCTGCAGTCACAAAAGCTTTAAATCGAAATATAAATAGCTTTTAAGGCGCAATAAAAAAAAAGGCCACACTAAGAGATTCTGATATCTCATGGAAGAGCGTTTATAGCCTGGGGGCTACACGTGAAAAAGCTCGGTCACCCATAGACCAAAACTTTGACCTGGAAATTCATAGAAGATCTGCATCCCCAGATCTTAGGGACCTTGAGGGGGACATGTGGGTGCAGCATGTCAATGATGTTAGTGTATAACGTACCGTATGTAATATTCTACACTGAAATCAATCGTAGCTACTTATTTTGCCACGCACACGTGGTGCCGGTCGCTGGACTGGTTACAGCCTTTGGAGCGGCTTCACCGAATTGGCCCAGGACCGCCAGATAATGTTGGAAGCAGCCGGATAATCGTAGATCAACTCTTTCAAGAGCCGCAACGCATGCGAATGCCACGGTTGCCGACCCATCGCGGTTTTCGACCCGTCGCGCTCTTGGGAGTGCTCCTTTAGTAGCCACATCCTGCTGATGGGCGCCACGGTGGATAGATGTTAACTCCCTCGCCTGCTATACCAGAGGTGGTGGGTTCAATCCCAACCCTGACGGCTGCTCTATATTTGAAGTTTGTGTGTCTCTCTCCCCGTGGTCACGTGGAAATCTCTCGGGGTCCTCTGGTTTTTTCGCCTCCACATTTAGAATCAACGTCATGCGTTTCAAGTCTATGGCTGCTATACATTTCCACGTGACGATACGCCACTTCGTTGATCTGCTATCATTTGTGATATGTCGCTTCTGAAAAAGAGCTACGTAGCTCAGTAGCGGGCCTTACCGGATTAAATACAGGAGTCAAAAACTAGTTCCTGGGTCTCCCTGCTAAAAGAACCACGGCTACTGCAAAAACATCGGTCCAAGGAGGCACACGAGTCGATGGACCTGTGATTTTATTTTGCCGATACAATAAACCTGCTTTCATTTTATTCGTGTGTGTGTGTAATGCTTGCTGTGCATCTATTGAAACACAGCAGCAGAGCCCATGCTATTCAAAAGCTGTGTGCGTGTTTTTATTCAAGTGTTTCATACATTAAGGTTGCAGAGATACGGATTCGTATTTATTTGGCGCTGAAAAAAGTCTTGGCAACTCGAAGCGTCTTATGTCACGGCTTATCTCAACCATTCCAATGCCCTGCAACGATGTAGCCTAGAGGAGTAGAGGAGAATCACCTGCAACACTCTTCCTTCCAATATTAAGACGCCACTGGGAACTAAACACTTTTAAATCACCTCCGATTAGCACGGTTGGCTACGTACAGTGCAAAAGGTCAACACACATACACGATGGCAGCTGTCCCTGTAAATGCAGCACCAGCCTGCAAGTGAGCATGGGTCTACCATTCGGGGCGATGTGACTATTGGTTTTTGACAAATAAGTAATTTGTGGGTTATTGATCATAATTTGCCAAATTTGGACCGCGACTCCCAGCACACATGGCATGCTCTGTTGTTGAATAAAATGATGAGATCTTTTAACGCCCACTGTGGAAGTAGACAGCATTCGTGTTTTATGGTTATGACACGCCAGCAATATTAACCAGGGTGGCGTCTGGCCTGGAACTGCAACTCCTCTGTGACAAGCAGCAAACATATAACGCCGCACGTGCATTATTCAACCGACGTGATTAGGGATTAGGAAAGGAGTAAGATGCAACACATCGCAGTTAACCCAACCCAAACCCGACTTATAACCCTAACCAAACTAGCCTACTAGGACTCTAACCAAAGCCCCATCCATAACCATTATTACAAAGACCCCCCTGTATAGCCTTAATAAACTCTTGGAGCAAGTTTTATTAGCGAGTTGAACGTATGAAGGCCGACCATGGCACACGAGGAGGTAGGTGACCAGCACCACGCCCGTTGGCCTCCTGTCTCCCCAGTGGCAATGTTTACTACACACCGCACCAGGTACTCATTTGAGGCTGAGTCGACCTAGATGAGGCACAGTTATAACAGTCCCCTATTCAATCTTGGCATTTACAACTCAACTATGGTCACGAAAATGTAATTGCAACATTATAAATATATTCCTACACTCACGTAAAAAGCATTGAACCGTACGTGCGAACATCGGTTATATGCAAATGATATGCAAATCGCAGATTTCCACTCTTGGCGCGACCATGATAGTCCAACGGCAAGGCAAATGTAACAACAAAACACACAAGAACTTAACAAAACTGTACTGCCGAAGTACAGAAGAGGGCAGATAACACAAACAAAACGGCAAACAAAAACCTAACTAATTTAACCAATCCTTGCAAACGAGACGCGACGTATTCAAATGAGTCGCGACGCTGCATCGGAACGATTCAAGGATGCGTCTGCTCAGGGAGGAGTTGTCTAATCGCTGTGACTCAGCCGTGGGGATTGGAGCGGTTTCATCCCCACGTCACTCATCCTCCTCCTCCTTATCCTCTTCCTCCATTCTCCTGCTCCGATGGAGGAACAGGAGGAACAGGAGGAACAGCGGCACCAGTGCGGTGATCACCTGTCCCCACGGCCTCCCCCGCCAGCTCGGCCCTTCCTTTCCCATCCCGCGAGTGTATCCGCTGGTGGCGCTGCAGCGCCCCGAGCCAGGAGAAGGCCTTGCCGCACTCGTAGCAGGTGTGCGGCCTCTCACTCGTGTGCGTCCGCTGGTGGTTGCGCAGGTGATCGGACTGCGCGAAGGCCCTCTCGCACACGGTGCACACGTACGGCCTCTCACCCGTGTGCGTCCTCCCGTGGCGCAGCAGCGCGCCGGGCCACGTGAAGGCCTTGCCGCACTCCGCGCAGACGTGCGGCTTCGCGCCCGTGTGGGTCCTACGGTGGTTCTGGAGGTGGGCCGAGCGAGCGAACGCCTTGCCGCACTCGTCGCACGCATGCGGCCGCTCACCCGTGTGTACCAGCTGGTGCCGCCGTAGGCCGCCGGTCCACGCGAACCGCCGGCCGCACTCGTCGCAGGCGTGCGGCCGCTCACCCGTGTGCGTCCGCTGGTGGTTGCGCAGGTGGGTGGCGAGCGCGAACCCCTTGCCGCACTCGGAGCATGCGTATGGCCGCTCCAGCGAGTGGGCCCGCAGGTGGACCTCTAGGAAGCCGGCGTCCGGCGCAGAGTACGGGCACCGGTCGCACCGCAGCAGCACCGGCGCCGGATCCGGCTGCTGCGGTAGCAATGGCCGCGGTGCCGTCTCCGGACCGGACTGGGCCATCGTCAACCAGTCGCCTGCCACGAACGACAGCTTCGTCTCGTCGGCTGCGGTCATCTTCTCCTGCATGCGGACAAGCGGTTATGAACCTAACGATGACGAGCGGTTACGAACGTGGCGGTGACGGCTCATGCTTACAGCACACAGCCCTTTTGTCAGTGTTCTGTGTGCGAAAGGTTTAATCATTTTAACCATGAGATTTTTTTTTAGGGTTAGATTGCGTAAATATAAATGTGTCACTAAACCCACCACCACCCAATACAGGCAATTAGTAAGGTTTGTCACGTAAACAAAACATGCCAATTTCTCCTTGTTCAGAACACCGGTGTGTTGGAGAGTAAACCCACAACATTTACAATTCGAGTACGACATTTCGCCAGTAATTACGATCAGCCTCATCAGGCGACAGCCAGAGTTTAACACGCTGGTTTTCGCGACCAATGTTACCGACAATAGCGGTTTTATTATGGTGTTCTGAACTAGTAACAAATTGGCCACGTTTTGCTAACGTGGCAAACCTTACTGATTGCTTGTCAAGTGGTGGCGGGTTTAATATTTATATCTACCTGATCGAACCCAAAAGAAATCTGTATTGTGGAAAGGTTTAAACAATGTATATTAGCCTGTACAATGGCTATCAGAGAGGTTATTTTTTATAATTATGGTACCTAAGATGCATGAAATAGTCACACATATTTTGTCAGCTAACCTACGTGTGTCATTTGAACTTATTTCACAGCGCACGTAGCCAACTGCGCTTACCGGAGATGCAGGGGAAGGACGACAAAATAAACACAACAAGCAGTTCTAAAGAAATACGTTTGTCCATCTAGATGATGAATGTAAAAGTGCATAGCTCCAGTGAATTCGTAATATCAGAAGAGCGTTCCAGATGGCCACGGAAGCAGCGCATCTGAAAGCAGCAATATTTTAAATTGTCCCCGTAATTTAATTGGAAGCCCAAAAGTTTGTATTGCTAAGGAAATGAATGTGGCTCACAGGATGAGTGGGTACATGGTGGTTAAATTCCAGTTTAAATGCCCCACGAGATCAGCAGCTGTTTTGGGATAAAATATTGCTTTTTGGTTGAGTTGATCCAATGCAGGAGATTCCCCCTTGGGTTTTGATCTTCCACGAAGCTGCTCATGGTCCACCCCCTAAACCGCATCATCCCCATCATCCCACTGCACAAACCATGGCGGCAGCAGCAGTATATGTGGATGATCATACCAGATGATGGCACAAATGGAGAAATTAAAAACTCTCCAGTAGCGTCGTGGCGACTGTGGTCAGCCAGAACAGAGGCTGTACAGCGTGTAACGAATAATCAATACGAAGGAGACATCACAGCGATGATATGTAAGAAGTTTTTTTTGGGATTAAATAGCGTAAATATAAACGTGTCGTTAAACCCGTCACCACCCGATACAGCCAATCAGTAAGGGGTTTGTCACGTAAACAAAATGTGGCCAATTAGTTAACGAGTTCAGAACTAACCAGTTGTGTGTTGGAGAGTAAACCCACTACACATATTTACAATTATAGTGTAGTGTATAGTGTAGTATACTAGTTCAGCTCTCAACGGTTGTGTTGGAGAGTAAACCCACGACACACATTTACAATGATAGTGTAGTGAATTGTGTAGTGCATAGTGTAGTATACTAGTTCAGCACTCACCGGTTGTGCGTCGGAGAGTAATCCCACTACGCACATTTACAATCCGAGCACCGTGACTTTTCGACGGTAATTACAACCAGCATCATCAGGCTGATAGCCAGAGTCCTGGAGTAATCCTCCGGTATTAAACTGATGATACTACTCTGCTAACTGCTCCTGACGACGCGGTCATCCGTTGCTTGACCACCCGAATGCGGACTTCTAAATAGTCGTTGCTCGTAAAATCTACATCAGGCACACGACAAGGAGGATAAAGTTGTTGCAGGTCGTTCAGAATCGGCTCATACGCCCCCTGCCGGACAGTCTACGCCAAAGAGCTTCACAACTCATCGGATTCATCCACCTGCGGTCCAGATTTCTGAGGTATGGTCAAACGAACCCTTCGGGGCCATCCATCTCGTACGTACGCATGGAGGTGGGGGGGTTAACCCAAATGCACACGCTTGCGTATGGGGGGGGGTCTACTGACAATGTACGTACGCATAGGAAAAGGGGGGGGGTGAAGCCTCGATAATAATTCTTTGTCGACATTGGCCTTCAAATGAGTTAGATAGTCCGGCGGTGGACTGTTTGCTTAAATCTTCTTGGTTCTTTCGGTAAAGTCACGTAGAAGGGAAGTAATAAAATAATAAAAATAAAACATAATAAAATCAAATAATTCTCATGATGTTTCGGCTACAACGCAAGCAGCCGTCTTCACCTCAAGACGGCTGCTTGCGTTGTAGCCGAAACGTCGTGAGAATTATTTGATTTTATTATTATTTTTTATTTTTATTATTTTATTACTTCCCTTCTACGTGACTTTACCGAAAGAACCAAGAAGATGAATCCCTGCAGTCACGAAAGCTTTAAATCGAAATGTTTGCTTAAACACGACGACCGCTTGTGTTGCGATCGAAACGTCGATATTTTTTGTTATTTTTTTCTGTTTACGTGGCTTTACCGAAAGACCCAAAGAATACGTTAATACGATTCATCCTTGATCGTTTCTGCGTCGATTGAATATCGGCCGTTCTACAGGATTCGGGAGGGGGGGGGGGTGCGTCAGGCATATGTACGCAGGTGGTTGGGGGGGGTGTAAAAAGTACGCGTGCGTACAGGGAGGGGAAGAGGGGTCACGGCTAACCCACGCCATGCCGGCCCTCAAGGAGCAGTGGCAGAGGTCGCAAACGGGTTTTGATTCCTTACCCGTACCCAGCCGCACCAAGGTCGCAATCGGGTACCCGTACCCTACCCGATACCCGGCTACCCGTACCCGGCCGGGTATCGAGTAGGGTACGGGTATCAGCTACCCGATTGCGATGAAGCCATGTTGCAGGCGCGGGTGGGTTGATTCTAGGAACTTGAATTGCGAGAAGAGACAAGACGTTGGGAAATGAGTGACAAACGGTTACTCACCAGTGACTCACGGCCTACCCGTACCCGGCCGCACCAGGGTCGCAAACGGCTACCCGTATCCATACCCGGCCGGGTACGGGTAGCCGGGTATCGGGTAGGGTACAGTATCGGGTACCCGATTGCCACCTCTGAGCAGTGGGTGCTGGAGGAGGCCGTGTGCTCGGTGCCAGAAGACGGAGAGCTCTGCATGCAGCATGAGCTACCGTCGGAGGCCGTAGGACTGCGAGAAGGGCTGGGTGCAGATGCAGCACTTGTCGGAAAAAAAGATTACATAGGAAATAGGGGGAACATAGACATAGAGGGGGAGAGGGGGTAGAGAGAGGGGGGGGGGTAGAGAGAGGGAAGGGGTGAGAAGGAGAGCAGAGCGTAAAATATTTTGTGAAATCTTTCATTTAAAAAGGGCGGGGGGAGGGGCACATAAAGCATTGACAAAACAAACTAAATAATGAACGAAGCCAAATGCCGACTACACCGAGCATCTTCTTGTTTCCTTTGTATTTGTATTGTATTTTATTATGTTTTATTTTAATTATTTTATTATTTCCCTTCTACGTGACTTTACCGAAAGAACCAAGAAGATTAATTATTTTTTCCTCTGATCGTAAAAAAAACAGTGAGGGGTCAAGTTTTAACAGATTTTTGCGTGCGTACTAAATGGATGGCCCCTTGGTGGGGAGAGACAGCGAGAAAGTAGGCGGATGAGTGGTGGTGGTGATGGTGGCGTTACCGCCAGGAGTCAGGGATGAGAGAGATGGGGGGAAGGCGGTGGCCTCTGTCACCCCCACATCTGTCTGTCTGCCTCTCTATGTGTCCCTGTCTGCCTGCCTCTGTCTGTCTGTCTGTTTCTGTCTGTCTCTGTGTGTCTGCCTCTGTCTCCCCCTGTCTGTCTGTCTGTCTCTGTCTGTCTGTCTCTGTCTGTCTGTCTGCCTCTGTATGTGTCTCTGTCTCCCCCTGTCTGTCTCTGTATGTCTCTGTCTGTCTCCCCCTGTCTGTCTTTCTCTGACTGTCTCCCCCTGTCTGTCTGTCTCTGTCTGTCTGCCTCTGTATGTGTCTCCCCCTGTCTGTCTCTGTATGTGTCTCTGTCTCTGTATATGTCTCTGTCTCCCCCTGTCTGCCTCTGTCTGTCTGTCTGTCTCTGTATGTGTCTCTGTCTCCCCCTGTCTGTCTCTGTCTCTACGCGCGCGGCTCGCGGCGTCGCGCGCAGGTCCCCGTCCACCCCAACAAACCTGAGCGCCTGCGCAGAGACGACGTCGGCGAGGGCGTGACGTCACGCGCGCGTGTCTATATCAGTGCGTGACGTCATGTATGCCGAGCAGAGGGTGCGGTCAGGTGTTTCTCGTATAGCGTGACGTCACTTGTGTGCCTTGCAGAGGGTTACGTCCGTGTGTGCAGAGAAGAGCGTGACGTTCCGTGCGTCTATCAAAGCGGCGTGACGTCACTTGTGTGACCACCAGGGCGTGACGTCACGTGTGTGTGTCTGCATCAGCACGTTACGTCCCGTTGTCTCTTGCAGATCGTGACGTCATCGTCTAGAATGACAAACTGATTTCTTTAGAACTGTTGTGTTAGTTTGTTGCCATAACCCCCCGCACCTCCGATTAGCACAGTTGGCTACGTACGGTGCCAAAGAAGTTCAACATACATACACACAAACCTACTGAGTTCAACATACACACAAACATACCGAGTTCAACATACACACAAACATATGTGGGGGCCGTTGGCCCCCGGGGTCCCTCCCGCCTGCATCCCCTATTCCGTTTACGTTACCCCACCTCCCTATTACTCGCTACGGTTTCGCATTCGAATGCGACGCCCCTACTGTTACAGCCTCGCGCCGCGCTCCCACGCTGCGAGCATACGTGCGCACATCATCGTCAATCAAACGCCGTGCTCGCAGTATAGCCCTGTGCGGCACGTTACCAATGCGCATCCGTATCCGACATGTAACGAACGTATGCACACACACACACACACGCCGCTCCGTGCACTCCAACTCCACACCAACTACGCAAGTTATGATCGCGCACCTGTATCACACACGGAGTGAACACACGCGACACCCACTCTTGCGCCGCTCTGCGCAGCGCTCGCCGTCTGCTGGCCGCTTGCGTTATGATCGCGCACCTGGGGTACGCCTATTACGCACGCCGCGAGCTTACGCACACACAGTACCACACGCGTTCCCCCACGCAACCCGCGCGCTCAGCTCCGCGCAGCGCTCACTCACGTGGCGAACCACGGTGCACACAGCGCACCCACACGCTCACACCGCACGACAAGATCACGCGAGACCACGCTTCGCTATTAATGATTTATTATATGCTACCTGCGAATTGATGTGTAATCAGTGAGTCGACGAGGCTGGCCTATTCCACTAAACCTGTACCTATTCCCTATTTATCGGCTTACGATACCCTACTTCACCTCCCCACTCACTGTTTGGTGCCCGCGGAGGTTCGCTGCTCTCTGCGCTAACAGCGTACCTCGATGCGTCGCACGGACGTCCGGGTCGCTGGCTGGAAGTCCTGCTGGTCCGCTGGCCTGGAGAGAAGGGAGCTATTTTCCCTCTGCGCCCCTCTATTTATCCTCCCTACCTTCAAGGGGATGCTGCGCTAAACAATGGGCTCGCGATCCTCTGGCACGCGCACGGCGGTTCTGGGTGCTGTTGATATGCTAATCAGTGTGCCGCGTGCAAGGCGTAAATCCTACTTAATCCCTTACCCTCCCTAACAATGGGGCCTGCGCGCTCAAGCGCAATTATCCCAACCCCCCATGACTATGCGCAACAGCCCCTGTGACCCCGCTATTCATGCTGTCTCGTGCCTCCCCTGCTTGCCCCGTCGACTCGTGGGGGTGTGTGTGGGGGGAAATGCGCCTCAACCGCGGTGGCCGAATGCCCCACGCCGCGACCACACAATATTAAGGCCGGCAGCAGCGCCGCGGTACCACGTAGCACGGGGGAGGTCATCCAATTCCCTGATCGCCGGAAACCGTGAGAATTAATCCCGATAAGGGTCTCTCGGATAAAAACCGGTCGATCAGGTAACCTTCCCTTCCAGCTCTATGGGAGGGGGGGGGATGCGTGCGGGTGTGTGCTTATGTGGGGCGGGTGATGGGGGGCAGTGCGGTGGGGGAAGCCGGGCGGCTCCCTGGCTCGGCAGAACGGCCCCGTCGCTGTGGCACCACATAGCCCCCCGGGGTGCCATTCCCCGTCCCGGGTTGACTGGAGCACCTCGCCTGGGTTGCCCCCACGAGGTATCGCCGCGGGGTCCGCGGGATTCGCCCGGCCCTTGTGGCTGGCCTCGGGGGTGGCGGCTCCTTCTCCTGGGGCTCCGGCGGTGGTCTCCTCCTCCATTCCAACGGCTCCCCTCGGCCTCTGGCACCTGCGGGCTGGGGAACAAACTCAGAAGCGGTGGGGTTTAAGGGTCGCCGTCCTCGTCGCCCCCGGCCCCGCCCGGGGCCCCTCGGAGCCCTGGGCTCCGTGGGGCCCATATACTGCACGAGGCCCCCGGGCACGGGGGATGCGGGTACTCCGGGATTTTGGGGCCTTCGGGTGACGGGGTTCTCTCTCGCCGGGGCCGCTTTCCACGGTTTTAAGCGGCGGACATTGACCACCGTCTCTCGACCCCTCTCCCCGCCATCAATTAGTACCGTCCAGGGGGAGATCTGTCGCACCACGGTCCAGGGTCCCCGCCAGTAGGTCGTCAGTTTCCCCACCTGCCCGGCCCCGACGCGAGGGGTGTGTAGCCACACCTTAGCACCTGTCAGGAATAAGGGGGGTTCCATGCGGGGTCGGGTGCCCTGTTCCTGCCGCCGATGCGCGGCTTCCCCTTGCGGGTATGCTCGGCCTCGGGCTTCTCGTAGGGTCTCCAACAGGTGTTCCACGGGGCGGCTTCCCTCCTCCGGCTGGGGGGAAGGGACGCCGAATAGCAGATCTGCGGGTAAACGAGACTCACGGCCGAACATCATTAAAAACGGGGTTTGTCCCGTCGACGTGTGTACGGTGGTGGCGTAGGCGAAAAGGGCGTAGGGGAGGTGTTCATCCCAATCCCGTTGATTTGCGGCCGCCATACGTTTGAGTTTCCCCGATAAGGTCTGATTCATGCGCTCCACCATCCCGTTCGCCTGGGGGTGGTACGCTGTGGTTCGGTCCATCTGGATTCCGAACTCTCGGCACAGTGCCTGGAACAACTCGGCCTCGAACTCGCTACCCTGGTCGGTGAGGACTCGTTCTGGGATCCCGTGCTTAAGTACGTAGTGTTCCACAAATGCCCGGGCCACCACCAAGGCCGTTTTATCAGGGATGGCCACTGCCACGGGGTAGCGGGTGAAATACTCTACTGCGACTAGGATATATCGGTTGCCTCGATGGGATCGCGGGAATGGCCCCTGTAGGTCGATCCCGACCAGCTGATTCGTGCGGCTGACGCGGAACGGCCTTAGGGGTACCTGGTATCGTGCCGGTTTCGGCCCGCACTGCTGACAGGCGCGGCAGCCCTGTACCCAGGCCGCCACGTCTTGTGCCAATTTGGGCCAGAGATACTGGCGACGCAGGGTCTCTCGAGTACGTCGTTCCCCATCGTGGCCCCCGAGTGGGTGGTCATGCACCAGCCGTAGCAGCTGGGGTCGCACCTGGGCAGGAACACAGATGCACCCCGGCTGGCCGGCCTCGGTTAACTCCCGTACCACTCCGTTCCGCACACACAACCGGGCATACAAACCGCTCCAGGGTCCTGGTAGGGCGCTCTTTTCCTCCCGCAGTGCCGCCTCCACTGCCGCCAGATCCGGATCTCGCTGCTGGGTCTGTCTCAGCTGCTCGTCGTTTAGGCCCGGGAAGGCGCAGCCGACGTCCTCCTGGATCCGTCCAATCGGGTCCCGAGCCGCGGGTCCCGCGCTTGCCGGGCGGTCGACGGGATCCTCAGTGCCACCTGTGAGGGTTTCCGTGGCGCACACTGCACTCTCTCTCGCTGGGGGGGGGTCAGTGGCCGCGGCCTCTCGGGGGTCCGTTGCCTGCCGGCAGCGTCCCCCCGTGAAACACGGGCAGGCCTCCTCCGCCCTCGTCTCGGCGTACACCGTGGGTCGCCTCGACAAGGCGTCCGCGTTTGCATGCGTCCGGCCAGCCCGATACTCGATTTGCAGGTTGTACTCCTGCAACTGCGCCAACCACCGGGCCATCTGCCCCCGCGGCTCCTTGAATGTAAGAAGAAACTGCAGAGCATAATGGTCAGTGCGTACGCGACATCTCCTGCCGTACAAATACGGCCGGAACTGTTTGCATGCGAAAATCACGGCGTACAACTCTTGGCGGGTCACGCAATAGTTCAGCTCGGCCCCACTCAAGGTCCGGCTGGCGTACGCGATGACTCGTTCCGTCCCATCCTGTACCTGTGACAACACCGCGCCCAGCCCGCTGCTGCAGGCGTCGGTGTCCAAAATAAAATCGGTGGTAAAATCGGGGAAAGCGAGGGTGGGGGCGTGGGTGAGGTGGTCTTTGAGAGTGGTGAAGGCCGTCTGGCAGGCCCCCGTCCACTGATAGGGGTGCTTAGGGGAGGTGAGTTGGGTGAGGGGGCGTGCGATCTCGCTGAATCCCTTTACAAATCGACGATAATAGGTGGCGAGCCCCAAAAATGATCTGATCTCCGTCAGATTCCTTGGCCGTGGCCACTCCACTACGGCGCGTACCTTCTCCGGATCGGTGCGCACGCCTGCCTCGCTGACGCGATGCCCGAGGTACCCCACCTCGCGTTGTGCGATGTAACACTTACGTGGCTTGAGCTTGAGATGAGCCGCTCGCAGTCGCTGGAACACCTCTCGAAGCCTGGACCAATGCTCAGACAAAGATCTACTGAACACTATCACATCGTCCAAGTAAATCAGGCACTGTTCCCATTGCAAACCCCGCATCACCAACTCCATCAGCCGCTGGAACGTCGCGGGCGCGTTAGTGAGTCCGAACGGCAACACTCGAAACTCAAACAGGCCCATCGGGGTGGTGAATGCTGTTTTTGGCCGATCCTCCTCCGTCATCTCCACCTGCCAGTAACCGGACGCCAGATCGAGGGTGGAAAAATACCGCGCTCCTGCGAGACTGTCGAAGGTGTCGTCGATGCGGGGTATGGGGAAGGCATCGCCGAGCGTGACTGCATTTAGTTTACGGTAATCGACGCAGAACCGGGTTGACCCATCCTTTTTCGTTACTAGTACCA